CACAGTACAGCCCAGTGAGAGCAGGGGAACAACACAGTACAGCCCAGTGAGAGCAGAGTAAAAGTGCAGTAAAACCCAGTGAGACGAGGTTAAGACACAGAGTGGTGTAGTACAGTGAATCATGAAACGAGCTGTGAGTGAGCTCAGGATTCTCGGAGGGTAAAAGCGAGTATAAGGAGGGTCCTACTGTGCAAATTCCCTGCCCTTAAGAAAATCTAGCTGACAGCACACAAGCGCCCGCGGGCGAGTGCCCGGCCATGACTCAGCGATTTCAGCTGCCCCCCCCCACACACACACTCAGCTGGACTCCCCCGCCAGGGGGACCGTCACGCGTGCAGAAAGTCCTGCGACTTTCATCAGACAATTCACTGCCATTAGTCATAACTAATGCTGCTGAACTCTCTTCTGCATTTATACCGATCCTTCCTGCAGAAGCGGTCAAGGTGACTCAGCGCTCAGTAGGAAAACAAACTATTGAAACAGCTATGTGGCAGTCAGCTCAGGCGATCTAGAGGAACAGGAGGGCTTTGTCAGCGGCGCTGAGCACGGATAAAACTCATCACCACGCCGCTCCCTGCCCGCCGTCTCTTATCTGCTTGGCCCACGGAAGAGCACGCCGAGAGCCCCGGCCTCTTTATTTTCACGCCCGGGCTGGCGGCCGCGGCTCTCTCGGCCTGCTGCGGGCTGTCGCCTCAGCTGAACTCCTGAGCACCCCGCAGAGGGGAACAGCGCAAGAGCTGCAGCTGTGTTTCGGGACGCAATTACTGCTTTGCGGCTGTTTCATTTCCTAAAAAAGGCGAGCAGGTCTAAATGAGGAACCCTGTGGAAAATCGACTACGTGCTGCGACGCGGTGCACACTGTGGTCCCACAGATCAGAGCTTGACGCGGGTTCGATGGGGGCTTCCTGGGTCTTTTTTAAGCCGCTGGTGCTACTTTCAGACCCGCGCTGAAACGACACAGCCCGGTAACACGTAATGTCGCCAGAATGTCGCCCTGACTGCGGCACATCCGATCACATCCACTGCAGAGCTGCGGCGCGGTGTGAAATGTCGGTTCGTGTGCGGTGCTTACAGGGTTTGTAACAGCGACGGGTCACCGGGAGAAATTGGCCGGGAAATTGGGAACAAGCGCATGGAATTGTGCCGGGATCCGAGAAAGGTCTCGGGGTGATCGTCAGGTGTGTTTTTTTTTTTTGGTGACTGTAGCTTTTTTTTTTTTTAGCTCTTTTTGCATAACGGCTTCAGCTGAATGCTTGGCTGCCCTCTGCGGGCGCCGAGCTCGCAGCTGGCGGGGGCTGTTTGCCCCTGGTGCGCGAGAGAGACACCCGCGGGCCCGGGGCATGCCGGGAGCCCGTCCGTGTCTGACGTCATTCATAGGAGATCTCCGCGATTACATTGAACACCGACAGACTGTCTGTCTGATCTGCACTCACACTAACAGCCAGCAGACTGACACTGACACGTTGCTGAAACAGCGGACATCTAACTGACCAGCACATCATGACACTGATTGATTCAAACAGTTATTGGCCGACTGATATACTGACATAATGACTGACTCACTGACCCACTAACGCACTGACTACTGTATGATCCACTGTTTTTAACTCGCTGACCGACAGACAGACACCCACGCTCACTGACTGATGAATTAACAGACTGACACTGTGACCAACACAGTAACCGACACTAGCATACTGACACATTGACACATTCACTGGCGCACTGGCTGACCAGCACACAAACACACCAACAGACACAGTGATACACTAATACACTGCCTGGCAAATACTCTAACATGCTGTCTGACCAACAGACTAACACACTGACTGACCAACACGCTAACACACTGACCGACAGACATAGTGACCGGCACACTGACTAACCGACTGACACGCTGACAGACAGATATACTGACCAACACACTGGCTAACCAACACACTGACAGACACACTGACCGACACACTGACTCCCACACTGACCAACACACTGCCGACATGCTGACTGACACACTGACCGACACACTGGCAGACACACTGACTGACCGACAGACACACTGGCCTCCCCCAGAGAGGCCCTGGTCCCACTCACCCGGACATCCTTGTAGTGGAAGGCCACGACGAGGAT